CAGTACCGTGCTGGTGAAGCAGAGCAGCAGACTCACGCAGCAATTCGAGCTCGGCAGGAAGTGACGAAAACAAGGATATCCGAGCATCGGCCGAGGGCATCGATCATCGAGCTGCACCAGAAGAAGCTGTTGGAGGAGGAGGCGGGAACGTCGAAAGCTAACCTCGGGAGGGCATCCAGGCAGCAATATTACAGCACTAGCGAGCTTCTGCAAGCAGAGTCCAGAACGTACCAGTTGGAAGGTGCAGCAAATAAGATCGAGGTGACAGTTCAGCACAGTCGCCAACGAGTCATCATTGGGCAAACCTGAACGCCGCGCAAAGGACCAACCATCGGGGCTGACGTAGTCCGAAGGGAATTGAGCTACACAAAGTACTTCGATGAGGCGAGGAGTTTCAAATGACGTGGCAGGTTCTAACTGCATCACAGTGTATTCGTGCTCCCGTTGTTGTGATGTCTTGGAAGGAGGTCAAACAAGAATGTCGTTTCCCTGCGGAGATACGTGAAGCAGTGACTCGCGAAGAAGTGCACGCTCGTCGGGTGGACAGGCGCCCGACGGAGGCCGACGCCGTGCACGCTGCAGCATTTCTCCTGGCGCGCGTAGTTGAGGAGTGGCTGGAGCAGTTGCCCAACCACGGACAATGGCATCATCCAGACCATGTTTTTTTGGGTTGAAGAAATCTAGAGACAGTTGGCCTATGGTTCTTTCGCGCGCGCTCGCCCGTGCCGCGGTTGAAGGTAAGCTTCCAGCACGGCAGCCGGCGGCTCCCTAGCCCCGACGTGCAGGATGAGTGTTCCTATGTTTGTTCCCAGTTCTCTTGGACGTGCGAGTCGTATTCATTGTCTCCGTTCCCTTCCTCATCTTTGTCGACGTCGTTCCATGATGTAGCTTCTCTCGGCATCGCTACCAACTGCTGGTGCCAGTGCCCCGCGAGCTCGGGCCTGCGAGCTTTGGTGCTTGGGGTACCTGAGGCCCACAGGGGGAAGCGAAAGCGGCAGTGGGCGAAACCACCCAGGAGCGCCGCCCCGTGGGCCCGATACCCCCAGGCGGCACCATGCCGTCGGAGCTTGTAGTCTCACCTGCTCTATCTAGTCACACTGTTGTTCGCCTCTGTTCAACCTTATCACCACTACGGTTATCAGTAGAATTGACTTGTTTATGCAGTTGTTCTGTTTCGTCTCGCTCATGCAGAGGCCTGTACTGCGGTAAGCAAACGACCTCTCTCGGCCGCACTCTGATCCTGTTCCTCGGCCCCTCCACTATGGCATGGCGAGCGGCGCCGACACTCTCACCGTGCATCGTCTCCCTTCATCATCATGCACGGCGGTGCGGGTGTCGTCGCCCCCGTTTCGTGCTCCATCCACTTCTGTTTGATCCTCTCGTTGGCCATGTGGATTTGCGGAGGTGGGATGAATCTCTCTTGTTCTTTGTTGCCTGTTGTTGCGTGTCTGTGCCGTCGATCCTTTCCCGCTCTCCCGTGCAGTCGCGCGGCTGTTGGGGAGCGCGCGCGCTTGATGGCCCTTTAACTGACGCTTCGAGCGCTCGCTCCCACGGTGTGCCCCAAAGAAAGAAGGAGGCTGGAAAGATCCCCCCGATCCTGCGATGGGCGAGCGCGTCACGTGTCTTCCCGGGAGCACGCGAGGAGTGCTTTCTCAAGCTCGTGGTTGGGCCAGGGGATGCCGCGCAGCGCCAGCACAGCAGCTCGCAGGGCCTCTCCTTGCCAAGAAATCACGACGAGCTTCTGACATCGAAATTAAAAAATTGCATGCGTCGAACAAATACAGAAACATTGACTTTCGGAGCTCTGCGCTTATTTCGTGGATCCGCGCTGGGGCCCCGTGGCGGCGCCTCCGGCGCGCTCCGCGCGCCAGGGAGGGTTCAGCGACGATCCAAGAAATCTGGGCGGACTTCCGAAAGTTTCTGTTTATCTTGTCTTTGTTTATCGGCTCTTGAGAATACTCGGTTTCTGGGGGCCCTCACCAGGCCCAGGGAGGCGCGGGATGAAAGGGGTCCAGACCTTTGGGGGTCCACAGTGCGAATAACACACGACGTCGGGGGTCTGGGTTTGAAGGGTGAAAGGCGATGAGGCGGACGGGCGCTTTGGGACCGTATCTCGATGCATGATTTTCTTCTTCACGTCTCGGCCTCGAGCTGCAGGCAAGGTTGCAGAGCTCGAAGACTCCTGAACGCGCAGAATTGCAAGGTGCATCTGTTGAAGTGGCGGTTCAAGGATGGGGCCCTGAAGGATGGGCCCCTGACGACACGAGACGGATCTTTGGCTAAGGTTTCACTGGTCGAGGTCCCCCCTCCTTAGGGCCACACGCCTCAGGGCCCAGTTCTTGAATCGCGGATCTGAGGCCTGGGATGCGCCTCGCACTCTCCCACAAAGCTGCGGCAGGCGGCCCTGCTGACATCCTCTGGCGCTGTGCCAGCATGCGCGGCCTGGCACCTCAGGATACTGCCGCCAGCTGCCCCCGCCCGGGCCCGGTCGCTCCCTGCGTGCTGGGGGGCGCCCTTCCTGCAGAAGAGCACGGGGTCATGACAATGGTGCGTGCAAAGATTCCCTAGCTCTCCTGCAACGTACCCCATAGCCAATCGCATCATGGCATCATTCTCGTCCTGTTCCTTGCCCGAGGCAAAGGATGCCCTCGTGTGCCTCCCTCCTCTCCACACCCCATACGAAGAGGGAGACGAGGAGGTTGTGGTGGAGGTGGTGGTGAAAGAGGAGGGGGCCAATCATTAGCAGTAGCAGCAGTAGTTAGGTGTGCGTAGGGTCAGTGGCAGTCGCAGTCATAGTACGGGGCGGGGGAGGACGCCAGCGTGGGATATTGGATGATTTGTGGACAGCGTGTTTCACTCTCCCCTTCCCCCCCCCGTTCCCCACTCCACCTGTTCCGCCTCTTGTCTCCTGCGGCTCTATTCTGCCCAATCCCCCCCACCTCTCCCTCGCCTCCTTCCGTCCCCTTTCCCCCATCCCGGTCCTCCCATCGATCGTTCATCCCCCCACGGATTGTTTCTATGTCCCTTTCTTGTCCCCTCGTCCGTTGACAGGCCGTGGCCATCCGCAAGCACTTGGACAAGAACCGCAAGGAGAGGGCGCCTCTCGTCGTCGTCCACGGCGGCGGCGTCATCTTCGTCGTCCTCACGTTCTCACCGTCTTCGTTCTCGTAGTCGATGTTCGACCCTCGGTCTTCGGTGGTCCTCGGTCCTCCTCGTCCTCCTCGCCTCCTCGTCCTCCTCCTCGGCCTCCGTCGCTCCTTCTCCGCTCCCTCCCTCACACCTGCTCCCGCTTCCTCCCTTCCATTTCCTCCTGTCACGAGGAGGAGGGAGGAGGGAGGAGCACGACGAGGTCGCTTTCGCCGCCGTCGTCGCAGTTACCGCCGTCGCCGCCGCCGCCGTCGCCGTTGCCGCCCTTACCGCAGTTGCCGTCGTCGTCCTGGTCGCCACCGTCGTCGTCCTTGTCGACGGCGTCGTGCTCCTCCGCAGGACAAGGACTCCAAGTTTCGCCTCATCCTCGTGGAGAGCCGCATCCACCGCCTGGCAAGGCGCTGCGGCCCCCGCGGGGGGCAGCCGCTGCTTCCGATGACGATGCTGCTGCTCATGATCGCGGTGGTGGTGAGGAGGATGAGAAGACGAAGGATATGATGGAGGAGGATGCCCCAGCAGGCCTCAGAGGATGGCCCCGAGGGAGCTCGTGAGGACTTCAGTTTCAGGCCTCAGTGCGTGAGGATTCGGACGGCATGTTTCAGGAGGGAGAAAAACACACAGACACAATTATTTGTCGATTTCCAGGAAAATATGGGGAAATATGGGAAGTGGGGGGGAAGACAAAAACCCAGAAAATATAGGAAAATATGGGAAATCTTTTTATTTCTGTGTATTTATTTGTGTGTCCCAGTTTCCCTTCAATGTTGCAGTCACCTTCCGGGGGGGATGGTGTTTCGGAGACGGAGGAGGAGAAGGAAGGCGAGGAGTCGTAGCCCCCGAGTCCGAGTCGGAGGACCACCGGGGAGGATTTTGGAGGAGGACGGGGTGAGAGGGAGGACTAGAGGACTCGTGGAGTCGGAGGCGCTAGGGAGGACGAGGACTGGAGAAGGACCACCAGGGAGAGGAGGTGGCCGAGGAGGAAGGGGTGAGGGGGAGGACGAAGAGGACGAGGAAGCGGGACCCAGACCTCTGTCGTCGCGATGATTTCGCAACGTGGTCCCCTGGAGGTCTAGATTCTACCCTGGGGCCAGCTTTTCATCCCGAGACAGTTTTTCGGTGGTCTCGGGGCCGGGCCCCCGAAGGGCCAGAAATGCGCGCAATGGGTGCATCCATGTGTTTTCTCGCATTGGCGGAGCGGCCGGTGTACAAATGCTTGCGCACGTGAAGCGACACATGATGGGCTGACGCCGTATCTTTTAGGGCGAATATGAGACCTCATCGGCTGAGATGGAGCCGTTGGCATCAGAGACCGCGTTGGGTACCGCACGCGCCGCAACCTGTTCAAGGGCGCTCGTACGGACACGAGAGGAGGTCTGGGGATGAGGCGGAGGCCGTCGCCACCGAAGCGGCTGCCGCTGGAACGGCGCAAGCGCCGAGCCGCGCTTGGCAGGTACTACAAGCGCGTGAAGTCGCTGCCGGCCACGTGGAGGTACGTCTCGGCCACGGCGTCCACGCTCGTGGCCTGCGCGGGGGGAGGGGGGGGTTTAGGGGGAGGGGCGAGGGAGTCAGGGGCGAGGGAGTCAGGGGCGAGGGGGGGGGCGGCGGGGGGGGAGATTTTCGGGGGGGGGGCGACGGGGTCAGGGGGAGGGGGCGAGGGAGGTGGGGGCGCCCAGACCTCCTCGCGGCGTGGCGCAATCACGGCGGGAGGCTTCCAGCTAACTATGTTTGGATTTTGGCCCTCAGCGGGCCCCGGGGTCGTCAGAAAGATGGTTTGGGACAAAAGGGCTGGCCCAGGCACATCCAGGCCTCTGGAGGTCGCCGTTGTGAAGAAATTCCGCTTACATACGTCGTGATGTTAGTCCCCAGGACCAGCCCTTCATCGCAAGTCGTTTTCAGACGGCCCCAGGGCTTGGCAAGAGCCCCTGAGTCCGAAAATGAGCGAAAGCCCTCCGCCGCGTTCTGCTCGCCACGACAAGAGGCTCCGTGCATCCTCCCTGCCTGCCTGCCTCCTGCTGCGGGCCGCTCCTGGGCCGTCCTCTGGCTCCGCCGCTGGCGCGACGCGGTGCCCGTCGAGGTGGCGTCTCTCTAGAGGTGGAGGGTGAGGAGCACAGGGCGCGTCCAAGACGGGCGTCGTGAAGGGAGGACCCCCCGTCCACTCCCAGGGGGGCCAAAATTAGCGCTCGCTCCCCGCGGCGAAAGATGAGTTGTTTCTTCCCCCGCGGTTGCAGCGGCTGCGAAGCTGCTGCCTGCTATGTATGAGCTATGATTCGCGTGATGTCGAGAGACGTGGCTCCGGCGATCTTGGGCCGATCGAACATGTTTTGGTCGCGGCCCCAAAGGTTGTCTGCTAATTCGTGGACTCACTATAGAGGGCAGTGTCATGGCCGTGGTCACGATACATGGCTGGGGTCACGATAGTTCACGGGACGGCCCCGACTCTGTCTTCTTTCGACGCGTCCCTTGGCCCCCCGCTTGTCCTCGCACGTGTTTCGAGCCATGGATTGCGAACCTCTCTCTGGGACGCCCCGGAGGTGGAGGGGGAGCAGGAGGGAGGACCCGCATTCCCAGACCTTCCTTTCTTCTCCTCCGTCTTTCGAGTTCGAGGAAACGAAACGGAGACGTTGACTGAGGGCGAATGGATCAGCGACGGGTCCCGCTTCTTCTCAAGTTCTGCTCGCTGAATCAGGCGGCGTATGTTTGGGGGGTTGTCTTCCCCGATCTATGGATCTGGCACCATGCGACAAGGATCCCAAATCCACGTTAGCGTGTGCCCGAATCCTCCTCTCCATGCCTCCTCCTCTTTCGGAGTTGTGTGTTGGTTCTTGTAGGCTGTCTCGCCTCGGGACGTTTTCCAGCGGCCCTCGCTTGGAGCGATAACGGCAGCCTGAGGCGCGAGATATGTTTTGCACATCAGACGTCCTCTTGTCGTTGCGAAATAATCACGACGGAAGATTTCTGCAATTGTTCCGCCTCTGCGGGCCCCCATGTTAAGCACGTTGCGAACAAAAGCACGGCGTGGAGGTCTGGAGACGGAGGACCCACGCCCACGTCGAGTCAAAACAATTAGGAGGGAGGGAGAGCAGGGCACACAGCCTTCTTCACCTCCCACACAGGGGCCGCAACACGAGCCCTCCTCTTGGCATGAAACGAGCCCTGAGGGAAGCGGACCCTGGACACCTGAGCTTTCCCTCGGGGCCAAGCCTGAATCCTGCGGGCCGCTCGCAGACAGTCCTGGTCCTCGTGGAGGACCACATGGGGTCCAGAGGCGGCGACGAACATCCAGGACCCCTGGCCTGCAGGACCCGCCCCCTTCCTGCCACATCTCGCCCGCCTGCTCGTGCGTCCCGTCGTCGTCGCCCGCCTGCCCGCGGGAGCCGCAGGCATGAGCCTGCGCACGGCGGAGTTGGCCTGAGGCGCGCGGGCACGGCCGCCGCGCGCGAGCGCCGGCCCCCGCCCCGCGCGCCTGCGGAGGGGAGCACGGGCGCGCGAGGAAGCGGACGCGGACCCACGCTCGCTGCGGAAAGCTGGGGCAGATGGTTTTTGCGGTTTGTTCAGCCTCTGGGAGCTTTGCGAGGCCTCTTGCACAGCGACAGCTGCGCGCACGAGCAGAGGGGGTGGAGGAGGAGAGGGGGGGAGGGAGGGCGGAGGGCACTGGGGAAGGATAGCTAAGGGGACGAGGACAAAAAGGAGGAAAGAGCACGTGGAAGCGAGAGAGGGGGCGGTTCAGGGAGGCAGCGCCATCCAGGTCACGATCCAGAGCGCCGTGGTCTCGCAACCACACGCCCACGTCAATCTCGTATTGCACAGCCCGAAGAAAGCCGGGTAATCCAAGGAAGGTTGGACAACCAGGGAACCCGAGGAAGACCGGGCAACCAGGCAACCCCAAGGAAAGCTGGCCAGCTAGGCCTGGCACCCGCCGGCTCTTCAAGAGTAAGTAAGAACGTTTCCGGCTGGCTTGCGAAGTGCCTAGCCGCATATTGGGCAAAGTTGGATTGTGCCGTTCTTGTATGTGGCCGCCTGCTCTGCACGATTGGGGAAAGCGTGTTCAAAGCGCCCCAGTTCAAGCTGTCCCAAAATCCCCTCGCGGGCCGTTGCGCCCCATCCACCGCCGTGAGCAATATTACATGTTGCTAGTTAGTACAAGGCGGTTTCACATTCAAGCGCGGGCACGCGTCGATTAGCTGGATGAGGGGCGCAACGTTTTTTACGTGTGTTGTGTGTTGTGTGTTTTTGTTTTGTTGTTTTGGTAAATAAATATGACTCCGGATTGACAGGTCGTCACAGCTTATGTGGCCATTGTGTGTGCGAGTCCAGGCAGGGGAACGGCAAAACGCCATTTGGCACGAGGCGTTGACATTTCAAATCGCCTCGTGCTGAGCACCAGGAGGAATTGCAGCGGTTGTTGCAAATCAGGCCCGACGACCGACCCGCATTGTTACGACAGTTTTCAAATATGGCGGGAGTGAGAGATGCCAAGCAAATTCAATTAGCACCACGCAGCGCCAAAGTTAGACAATGCGAAGCAGCCACGCGAGCAACGCCAGCAATGACTAGCAACGCCAATCAATTGTTCAATTCAACGCCAATCCCTACCAATTCATGCTTAGCATTGCAGTGTTCTGCATTGCTCAGAATTTCTTTAAACAGGAGCCGCGCCAGGTTTATCTCTTGTCGACAGAAACTAAGTCAGACACTGAACAACAAAACACTTCCAGAGACGGACACGACACTTCCAGAGATTACGCAACACGATTTCAGAGATTGCGTTATGTCCGAACATTGCGCGGGCAATTTTCAGAGATTGCGCCAGACAGTGTCAGACATTACACTGGCCGTTTTCAGAGATTGCGTTGGGTTGTTCCAGGGACTTCTCAAAGACGGTTGTTGCATCCATCTCTTTGGTGTCTTTTATTGTTCGATTTCCGAATCGTTTTCTTGGTTCGGGGTTTGGGGCTAGCAGTGATTGGAGGATTGTTGTCGCTCTCAGGTCTGGACGAGGCCCGCGACTGGCTCAACAATAAGTTTTGGGAGTCCTGCGCGCCACAGTTGAGTTTTGGGGCCAGACCGGCAGGGGCACAGCAGCGCAGACCCTGAGGACGAAAGCCTTCAAGGAAGGCGGCAAGATTGTCTGGGCTAAGCCGCACCCGCACAAGGCTCTGCCCCAGAGGGTCTTAAATTCATGCGCTGTTGGTTCTAAGCACATGCTGAAGGAGTGGGGCTACAATAGCGTCTGGGCCGATCCCGAGGAGGGAAAGGCGTGGATCGGCAACGACGTCGCGTCCATCGACAGTGGCACGCTGATGGTCGAGTGCGGCGCCGGCTGGCAGGAGCGGCTCAGTCATGCCGATTCCCCCGGGTTCCGCAAATGGCACAGAAGCTACGGAACAAGTTCGACCAGCATCCAGACAAAGGCGCAGGCAAGGGCGGCTCCAAAGGGAAGCACACGGGGACAGGCTCTGGCCGCCATTCCAAGTAGGGGTGCTGGCAGCCCGCGAGCAGGGCAAATTCACAACAGAACCGTGGAGATCTCGGGCCTCTTTCTGATCCTCTTGGCGAACATCGACTTTCTGCGGACAGCGGGAGAGTTGGCTTAGCCAGTCAGCCATTATCTGCTGCGCGAGGTGGCCTTTTTGCGCCCGGTGCCAAGCGAATTTACCATTGCAAACTGGAACATAGGAGGTCACACTGACTGTAAGCAAATAGAGTTGGAACGTATCATGAAAGGAACGGGCACCATGATTGTGTGCATCCAGGAGACTTGGATTCCGAAAGCGAGCGCTGTCGTGTCTGATGCCGCTATTTGGTTATAGAACCACGCGGCCAGGACAATTATACAGATAAGGTTGGGGTTTCTCGCGTCACCCACCGCCGGGAGTTGGGCTTCTGAAGGCTCCCCTGGAAATTCTGTCATTTGGAGGCAAAGCCGCTCTTGTCTCGGCGCGCGTTCCACAGCGCCAAGGAGCGCCAGGAGTGCCAAGATGTCCTACCACGACCTGGCAGATTTCGTCGAAGCTCGGTCGGCACAGGGCCCTAAGAACCATTAAGGTGACTTCAATGCAAGGATGCGCGAACGAACGGGGGACGATTCCACTGCGCATATTTCAGCACCCAGATGCCAGCGTCAAGCCGGACGCACACTGGTTTCGGTTGTCAGAGACTTGCAAGCGGTTGCGCACGCGCATTGCCGATTTTTGTCTTCGAGAGATCGCAGATGGACCGCGCAACGCGCTACAACGTCGGGCGCCTTCTCGGGCGCGCCGCGAGCGCATCAACGCGCTCGCAGATCGATCTCGTAGACTGCGACCAGGACTGGCCCCCGAAGGTCAACGACGCGCAAGTACGCCGCGAGGCGCAGCTTACCCCGCGCCGGAGGAATGCCAAAGTTCGCGCAAACTACAAGAAAAGCGATCTGGCATCGCGCAACAATTACAAACATATATGTCATCGGTCACAAAGCGTCTGTTGCGATATTGCTGGACCGGTTGAAACACGCTGGCGCCGAATCCAAGATTTCGAAGACACAATTCGGCTCCCGCTCCGGCACGGGGTTGCCGACGCCATTTCGCTTGCAAGGCCAGCGATAGAGCACGCAAAGGCCAGAACTATGGGAATGCTCGGCAAAAGTCTCGTCAAACTTGCTCAGACAGCCCACAGGCGAATCCGAATTGAACATGTTGGCCAAATCAGAGCAGCAAGTCCTCTCCATCTCTGGTTGCCCAAGCGTGACTTTGTCAAGGGGGCTTACTTTCGATTTCCTCTTCGCGATCGGGATGGCCTTAGGGATGCGCACAAGATGTTGCGCACGAATTATGATGAATTGTTGCAGAATCAGTTATGCAAAAAAATGGTTGGT